AGATCAACAGTGTTGCCAACGTCACCAGAACCTACAAGCTCTATAGAGAGAACAACAGGGTTGCCAACGTCACTAGAACCTACAAGCTCTACAGAGAGATCAACAATGTTACCAACGTCACCAGAACCTACAAGATTTACGGAGAGATCAACAGTGTTGCCAACGTCACCAGAACCTACAAGCTCTACAGAGAGATCAACAGTGTTGCCAACGTCACCAGAACCTACAAGCTCTACAGAGAGATCAACAGAGTTACCAACGTCTCTAGAACCTGTGAGCTCTACAGAGAGATCAACAGGGTTGCCAACGTCTGCAGAATCTGTGAGCTCTACAGAGAGATCAACAATGATGCCAACGTCACCAGAACCCATAAGCTCTACAGAGAGATCAACAGTGTTGCCAACGTCACCAGAACCCACAAGCTCTACAGAGAGATCAACAGGGTTGCCAACGTCACCAGAACCTACAAGCTCTACAGAGAGAACAACAGTGTTGCCAACGTCACCAGAACCTAGAAACTCTACAGAGAGAACAACAGTGTTACCAACGTCTCCAGAACCTACAAGCTCTACAGAGAGATCAACAGTGTTGCCAACGTCACAAGAACCTACAAGCTCTACAGAGAGATCAACAGTGTTGCCAACATCACCAGAACCTACAAGCTTTACGGAGAGATCAACAGTGTTGCCAACGTCACCAGAACCTACAAGCTCTACAGAGAGATCAACAGTGTTGCCATCGTCTCTAGAATCTGTGAGCTCTACAGAGACAGGGTTGCCAACGTCTCCAGAACCTGTGAGCTCTACAGAGAGATCAACAATGTTGCCAACGTCAACAGAACCCACAAGCTCTACAGAGAGATCAATAGGGTTGCCAACGTCACCAGAACCTACAAGCTCTACAGAGAAAACAACAGGGTTGCCAACGTCACCAGAACCTACAAGTTCTACAGAGAGATCAACAGTGTTGCCAACGTCTCCAGAACCTATGAGCTCTACAGAGAGATCAACAGTGTTACCAACGTCTCCAGAACCTGTGAGCTCTACAGAGAGATCAACAGTGTTGCCAACGTCTCCAGAATCTGTGAGCTCTACAGAGAGATCAACAATGATGCCAACGTCACCAGAACCCATAAGCTCTACAGAGAGATCAACAATGTTGCTAACGTCACCAGAACCCATAAGCTCTACAGAGAGAACAACAGTGTTACCAACGTCTCCAGAACCTACAAGCTCTACTGAGAGAATAACAGTGTTGCCAACATCACCAGAACCTGTGAGCTCTACAGAGAGATCAACAGTGTTGCCAACGTCTCCAGAACCTACAAGCTCTACAGAGAGATCAACAATGTTGACAACATCACCAGAACCTGTGAGCTCTACAGAGAGATCAACAGTGTTACCAACGTCACCAGAACCTAGAAGCACTACAGAGAGAACAACAGTGTTGCCAACGTCTCCAGAACGTACAAGTTCAACGGAGAAATCAACAGTGTTACCAACGTCACCAGAACCTAGAAGCACTACAGAGAGAACAACAGTGTTGCCAACGTCTCCAGAACCTACAAGCTCTACTGAGAGATCAACAGTGTTACCAACGTCACCAGAACCTACAAGCTCTACAGAGAGATCAACAGTGTTACCAACGTCTCCAGAACCTGTGAGCTCTACAGAGAGATCAACAATGTTGCCAACGTCACCAGAACCTACAAGCTCTACAGAGAGATCAACAGTGTTGCCAACGTCTCCAGAACCTCTGAGCTCTACAGAGAGATCAACAGCGTTGCCAACGTCACCAGAACCTACAAGCTCTACAGAGATATCAACAGTGTTGCCAACGTCACCAGAACCTACAAGCTCTACAGAGAGATCAACAGTGTTGCCAACGTCACCAGAGCCTACAAGCTCTACAGAGAGAACAACAGTGTTGCCAACGTCACCAGAACCTACAAGCTCTACAGAGAGATCAACAGTGTTGCCAACGTCACCAGAACCTACAAGCTCTACAGAGAGATCAACAAGGTTGCCAACATCACCAAAACCTACAAGGTCTACGGAGAGAACAACAGTGTTGCCAACGTCACCAGAACCTACAAGCTTTACAGAGACAATAACAGGGTTGCTAACGTCTCCAGAACCTACAAGCTTTACGGAGAGATCAACAGTGTTGCCAACGTCACCAGAACCTACAAGCTCTACAGAGAGATCAACAGTGTTGCCAGCGTCACCAGAACCTACAAGCTCTACGGAGAGAACAACAGGGTTGCCAACGTCACTAGAGCCTACAAGCTCTACAGAGACAATAACAGGGTTGCCAACGTCACCAGAACCTACAAGCTCTACAGAGAGATCAACAAGTTTAACGGAGAGATCAACAGTGTTGCTAACGTCACCAGAACCTACAAGCTCTACGGAGAGATCAACAGTGTTGCCAACGTCACCAGAACCTACAAGCTCTACGGAGAGAACAACAGGGTTGCCAACGTCACTAGAGCCTACAAGCTCTACAGAGACAATAACAGGGTTGCCAACGTCACCAGAACCTACAAGCTCTACAGAGAGATCAACAGTGTTGCCAACGTCAATAGAACCTACAAGCTCTACAGAGAGATCAACAGTGTTGCCAACGGCACGAGAACCTACAAGCTCGACAGAGAGATCAACAGTGTCGTCAACGTTACCAGAACCTACAAGCTCTACAGAGAGATCAACAGTGTTGCCAACGTCACCAGAACCTACAAGCTCTACAGAGAGATCAACAGTGTTGCCAACGTCACCAGAACCTACAAGCTCTACGGAGAGAACAACAGGGTTGCCAACGTCACCAGAACCTACAAGCTCTACAGAGAGAATAACAGGGTTGCTAACGTCTCGAGAACCTACAAGTTCAACGGAGAAATCAACAGTGTTGCCAACGTCACCAGAACCTACAAGCTCTACAGAGAGATCAACAGTGTTGCCAGCGTCACCAGAACCTACAAGCTCTACACAGAGAACAGCAGGGTTGCCAACGTCACCAGAACCTACAAGCTCTACGGAGAGAACAACAGGGTTGCCAACGTCTCCAGAACCTACAAGTTCAACGGAGAAACCATCAGTGTTGCCAACGTCACCAGAACCTGTGAGCTCTACAGAGAGGTCAACAGTGTTGCCAGCGTCTCCAGAACCTACAAGCTCTACAGAGAGATCAACAGTGTTGCCAGCGTCACCAGAACCTACAAGCTCTACAGAGAGAACAACATTGTTGCCAACGTCACCAGAACCTACAAGCTCTACAGAGAGAATAACAGGGTTGCCAACGTCACCAGAACCTACAAGCTCTACAGAGAGATCAACAGTGTTGCCGCCGTCACCAGAACCTACAAGCTCTACGGAGAGAACAGGGTTGCCAACGTCACCAGAACCTACAAGCTCTACAGAGAGAACAACAATGTTGCCAACGTCACCAGAACGTACAAGCTCTACAGACAGATCAACAGTGTTGCCAACGTCACCAGAACCTACAAGCTCTACGGAGAGAAGAACAGGATTGCCAACGTCACCAGAACCTACAAGCTCTACAGAAAGATCAACAGTGTTGCCAGCGTCACCAGAACCTACAAGCTCTACAGAGAGAACAACAGGGTTGCCAACGTCACCAGAACCTACAAGCTCTACAGAGAGAATAACAGTGTTGCCAACGTCTCCAGAACCTGTGAGCTCTACAGACAAAGCAACAGAGTTGCCAACGTCACCAGAACCTGTGAGCTCTACAGAGAGAACAACAGTGCTACCAACGTCACCAGAACCTATAAGCTCTACAGAAAGAACGACAGTGTTACCAACGTCACCAGAACCTACAAGCTCTACAGAGAGAACAACAGTGTTGCCAACGTCACCAGAGCCTACACGCTCTACAGATAGATCAACAGGGTTGCCAACGTCTCCAGAACCTGTGAGCTCTACAGAGATATCAACAGTGTTACCAACGTCACCAGAACCTGTGAGCTCTACAGAGAGATCAACTGTGTTGCCAACGTCACCAGAACCTGTGAGCTCTACAGAGAGATCAACAGTGTTGCCAACGTCACCAGAACCTACAAGCTCTACTACAAGTTCAACGGAGAAAACATCAGTGTTGCCAACGTCTCCAGAACCTACAAGCTCTACGGAGAGATCAACAGTGTTGCCAACGTCACTAGAACCTACAAGCTCTACAGAGAGATCAACAGTGTTGCCAACGTCACCAGAATCTACAAGCTCTACAGAAAGATCAACAGTGTTGCCAACGTCTCCAGAACCTACAAGTTCAACGGAGAAACCATCAGTGTTGCCAACGTCACCAGAACCTGTGAGCTCTACAGAGAGATCAACAGGGCTGCCAACGTCACCAGAACCTGTGAGCTCTACAGAGAGATCAACAGTGTTGCCAACGTCACCAGAACCTGTGAGCTCTACAGAGAGATCAACAGTGTTGCCAGCGTCTCCAGAACCTACAAGCTCTACAGGCAGATCAACAGTGTTGCCAACGTCACCAGAACCTACAAGCTCTACAGAGAGAACAACATTGTTGCCAACGTCACCAGAACCTACAAGCTCTACAGAGAGAATAACAGGGTTGCCAACGTCACCAGAACCTACAAGCTCTACAGAGAGATCAACAGTGTTGCCAACGTCACCAGAACCTACAAGCTCTACGGAGAGAAGAACAGGATTGCCAACGTCACCAGAACCTACAAGCTCTACAGAAAGATCAACAGTGTTGCCAGCGTCACCAGAACCTACAAGCTCTACAGAGAGAACAACAGTGTTGCCAACGTCACCAGAACCTACAAGCTCTACAGAGAGAACAACAGCGTTGCCAACGTCACCAGAACCTACAAGCTCTACAGAGAGAATAACAGTGTTGCCAACGTCACCAGAACTTACAAGCTCTACGGAGAGAAGAACAGGATTGCCAACGTCACCAGAACCTACAAGCTCTACAGAAAGATCAACAGTGTTGCCAACGTCACCAGAACC